ACTCACCAGCCGTCCACGTCTGTCCAACTCCACCACCACCAACACATGGTCTGGTAAAAAATTGTTTTGTCTCCAATCCAAAAATGATTTCATTAGGGGTTCTGTATTTGTGCCAACCATCCAACCATTCAAGAAGCCAAAACACGCCAAAGAAAGAATTTCTTTCCACACACCATCACATTAATTATACACATAATTTACTCAGCCAAGTGAGGTCTAAATATAATTCCTGACAAATAACATGGCAATACTAAATGACCTTACTGTGCATATTTATCATCTATATTTTAATCTAACAAGAACATTGTACAATAACACAACAGACAACATATGTACATCTTAACAAATGCACATAAAACCACCAATGTATACAGGGTAACTGATTCCTAACATATCCCAGCATTCTTTGTACTGCCAGGTACTGTTGCACCAAGAATTTTGAAAGCTTATTACTCACAATCTTCAGCATACATAAATAGTATCCAGCTATTTATTTTCAGCTGGAATATTTATGAACACACATCTGGACTAAAGGAATTGATAGAACAATTCTATTCAATGTGGAAACAAAAGTGTTTCTTGTGCAGTTATTACATGGTAATCACTATACACCAGTCTGTCACCAGGACTTTAAGGGTGAATTCTGTCTTCCTATGACTCTTTCTCCTCACTCTCTCGCTCCCTCCCTCTCTCTCCCCATCATGCTAAACTTAATCCTGATTATGTACGCTGACTAACTGGTGCAGAATGAGACCAGGGCTAATGCCATTTTACCCAGAAACATTTCCAAAGCTTGTCTTTTGTTTCGGTATCTAATCACGTTTCGTTGCTTTGTATTGGTACAGGCATATGAGGATAGGTTTAATTAACAAGTGGGTGTGAAATGTATGAATCCATCCAAATTCGCTCGACTGTGACATTACTCTGCAGAGAAGGAGCAGAGCATGAGCAGGTTTGCCTGAACATCTGGTAAAATGTCATATTTTTTTACCTTAAGGTGTATTTCTGCTTTCCGCTTTATCTGGATTTTTTTTGTTTTGTTTCTGTTTATGTTATTTCGATTCTATAATGAAGTGTCCCTCCTTCTCTTCACGCTTCTATGACTAACAAAACGAAAACTCCCCACTGCTGGTTGAATGTCATGGATGTTTTTGAATTGCTACCTGCTCTGCAACACAGTATCCATTTATGATTGTCATTGCACTTGAAACGGCATCAGCACCAGAAGATGTGGACGTGCTCTGGCAGCGGTTCCAGCCGAGCACTAATTGCTGTGGAGTTGCGGCGTGTTGCATTGTTGGATGAGATGGATAAGTGGTTGACCTAGTCTCTGCGCTATAATTCCTCTGTGTGTCGCAATATGAAAGAGGCTTAAGCAGAGGAGAAGAATAGCGATTGTTCCTACTGTTGCTCTGCTGTCTCTCTCTACTCTGTTTCTTGCTGCTTTTCGCTGTGACTCAGATGGTACCTGCTTAGCTCCATCTGTTCAGATCTCCTCTGAGGGTGCCATTCGTGCAACACATAACTAGACAGTCACTATCACACCATGTTGTACAGTTCACAGGTTAATTTGAAGTCATCATCATGCACTCACCCGGTGTCTTAATACTCTGATATGTGTGATAAGACTAAAATGCATGCATCTCCTGCAAAAGTACATGTGAATATGCACACACAGTCATACACTGCATCTTTCTCCCTGCTTATTATCTGCTGCTCTACTTCCTGTCGCGCTCTGTCTCAGTTTTCTACACACACAAACACACATACTGGCCTTTAGCTACTGTACCCAGGTGTGTTCCTCTCTGAGTCTGCATACACTTCTTTTTTCTTGAGATGTGTTTAGACACCTGTCATTGTGTGTGACAGGTTATTCTCTGTTTCCTCCCTGGAGCAAGAAAATAAGGGTCATTTCAGCACATACACACATATACAGTAAAGCTTGGAACAGGTAGGAAACAGGGAGCCGGTTACATAGTTTCCTTTCCACATTTATGGCATTTTGTTTTTTAAAACTCCAAATATTACAGTCATATGGTGAGGGAAGGTTGAAAGATGATTGGCTATGCCTGGGATCCCCCCAGGTTTGCTTTGTGTCTAATTGCTCTTATTTGCCAGCATGCTTAAAAATGCAGCAGCAGCTCTTCACCATGGGTGTGTTGAGCTTACCCACAGGCAGGATACAGAGCCAAAGCCAACAGATGAGCATAAAACTGTAAGGCTGTAAATCATATATTGGTAAGAGACTGTTGTCCATTAATTGTGTGATAAGGAAATCTGTAACCAAACAGTGTGAAAGGTTTAATTCATAAGCAATCCATCCTTGTCAAATCAATACACTCTCACTCAGTTTACTTCTACGGCCTTACTTGGGCTTGTATGACCTGTAGCTACTGGTGGCTAATGTTAGCTATTGTTAACTAACTTAAAATATTTCTGTAACTGATATAACTGAGTCAGTTCACTGACTTTATGCCTCTTCTGTCCTCGTACTGTTATATTAGAGTCTATTTGTCTAATGCCTAATGATGACAATCAACTGATTGAAGATAATCTTGGGAAATGAAGAGCCATGTGATGTGATGCTATCCTGTAACTGTAGTTTAAACTGAGTTTAAAGTGTGAATTTACACATTTCTGTCTATTTGTGAATTTTGTGGTGAATCTTATTTTTGTTCATTAAGGGTGGCTATCACTGCTCAAGCATCATATATCCTCTCCTGTGAAACTTTCCTGTGCTTTCTGAGCTTTTCCTGTTAAAACCCTGCCAGACACTTTCGCACAGCATAACAGAAAACTTAACCGCTTGCATGATCGTGTTATATCACTTTAGTGAATCATGGAAAGAAAATGAACTTTCTTCATATGAAAAAAAATAAAACTGTCACTCCAGCACAAAGCCACGGTAAGTGTAATACCTCATCTTTTACAACAGGCTACTGTCTACATATTTTCATGATGTCAAACTGTGCAATCAGGTCAAACTTCGGGCCTCCATAAAAGCCAGAAGATGTGCTGTGGCTCATTATCTGAAATAGATCCTAACTAAAAGGATGAAGTACACATGAGAGACTCCATTCTTCTTGTTCAGATCCTTTTGATTTCCTGTGGTGAAAATATTAGCCAATCAGATCCAACGATTCCTTAATCGCATGGACAGAGCCCTTCAGGCAAGGACTGTGTGTGTGTGCGTGCTCGAGAGAAAGAGAAGAGTGAAAGAGACAGTGGAGGGAGAAAATGAAAGAGTAAAAGCGAAGGAACGATAGGAGAGATGTTGTAAAATTAGCCACGCTGTCAGAGCAGTTTGCACTTGGCTTTACAGGAATTGTCATCAGTGTAGCAGACTCAGGGAAGCCCCCCTCGCTCTCTATCATCTTGAGCGCAGTGAGATTCAGGCTCTGTCTCTCTGCCTGGGCAGACTCATTAGATGACAAACTGCCCGAGCTCTTCCAGTAGACCTGGATAAAAACAGCATTCAGACAGTCATGGATCACCACACAGAGTCACCTGGTGTGGGTGTGTGTTGGTGTGTGTTGGTGTGGTGTGTGTTTGTGTGTGTGAGCATGCATGAATGAATTGGAAGCCTGCCTTGTTCCTAAGCTTGTCACCCAGATTGCGTAATCGTTCCACAAAAGTGAGTTCCACGGTTGTCCAAGGTGGGGGGTAAGATTACCCTGGTAGGACTGCTGCTTTTGAACCATTATTCCAAAGTTTGGGAGCGAGCAGGTGGTCCTGTCAGTGGACCAACACAGAATTCAGCTCAGAAAATAAATTTCACTTCAAATGAATAGTTTTGCTATTTGAAAATACTCAAAATCATTTTCTTATCTGTGTGCTAAATATGGAGCATCGACAGTATGAGCTAGAGCATTGACAGTATATATAAAGCTAGAGCTAGGAGACTGTTAGCCTAATTTAGCATAAAAACTGGAAACTAGGGGAGCACGGTTCTGTCCAGAGCTCAAAAAAAGGCTGTATCAGGTCTCCCTGCCACCGTCAGGTCCCTTAGCACACTATCATACACAACTGTCCTTTTATTTATTTACTTTAACCACACCACCTCCACATACTACGCCTCTTAGTACTTCTGAAGCTCACACACTGTATCTCGCCTGTTTAATACGTACAGAAGGAGAAATGTAAAAATATAATTTTATGCTTTTAGCGGTAGTGTCACTGCATATTTATTACTGTGATGATGACAATCCAGAAAGTCGCAGTAATGGTTCCTATTTAGCATTAGTTAGTATATAATTATAAATAACACAAATTATTGTTTATACAATTGTGTTTGTGAATGGATTAAACTAAATACAATATGTTGTTTAGAGGAGTCGGTGGGCAATTTTTTTTTTCAGCATAAACGTGACTTTTCTGACAGAGAAAGGAAAACATGGCAGCCGCTCTAAAACCCCTGTGAAAGAGAAGGTGTTTTTCAACATTATTTTTGTCCAGTTGTTCAGTCAAGTTAAGTTCAACCGGATAATGTCGACTATTGTTGTTGTACTATTATATATTACAAGAATATATGTTGATAATATAATGTTGCACCCATATCTACAGCTTAACAATAAATGAAAATGATTTCTGTTTCTTAAAGCTTCAACCAAAATAAATAGGGATAATTTCAACATATTTAAAAATAAAAAGACATGAAAGTTCAAAATTATTGCACCTGGAGGCTGTATATATTACATATAATGTATAGTATATCTCTTTTTTAGATTGCAGCTCATCTGGTTGAAAGAAGTGTTTCCTTATGCTCAGTGTTGAAAATAAGAGACAAAATTAACGACCCAGATTGATAAAATAACAAATCAGTTCCCCCCAATAACAAAAATGAAGGCGTCACTCCTCTTTGCGGAAACCAATCCCTGCCTGTTTCCATGGCAAATTACATCCCTCAATAAAAATACCCGAAGAGGACTCGGGTTTTTCCGGTCGGAGTCGGAATCAGAGCCGAGAGCCCCTGACTGTTAACGCGCGACAGACACATCAATCGGGTCTTGGCTTGCGGTTTGAGATTGTTTACATCCAATCAAACAAGTAAAAAAAAATAAAGTAGCCTTCCACTGAAATGGAAACCGCTGATCAGGTGAGTAGAGAAACGAAGAGAAAGATCATTTAGACTTAGACGTGTGATTATCTGCTAAATTGACCAATGTGTTAATTGGTGATAGAAATGAGAATGTTTGTATCCTCCCTCTGTGTCCTTACGCAGCTTGCATCTGTGGGGACATTTCAAGTGCTAAAATTACCTCTGGGATTTATCCGTGTTCTGGAATGGGTGAGTTGGAACTTTGATTATTTATTTTTGTTTTTGCATAAAATAACTTCCTTATGCAGTATAAAATCATCAGTGAATGATATAATATAGGGAGTGATGAGTGTCTGTGTGAGGGGATATTTTGAATAAACTGGTTAAATTCCTGCATCTCTGGTGCCACTTAAACTTTATCACATCTGTTGGCTTTTGGTGCCTGAACAGTGGGTGTACTTCCACACGGCGAGGGATCTTACCCGCAATCATCTCGGCTATGATCCGTCTCACCGTGACTAAATGGCTCAAGTTTATGTAAGGATTTCCAGCTCTGTGAGAACTACATGCCAGTGGAAGCCGCTATGTAGCTTTTCAATTATGCGTATTTTGGATGCGTTTGTGCCAGCCCTGCGCGTTTTGCGCCAGTCCACAAAAAAATGGCCTATTATCACTGCGAATGAAATGATATAACAGGAATCAACAACAAGAACGGGGTGTCCTAGCTCTGACTGAATCAAAGCTTTACTACCTCTTTCTGTCTGGGTGCAGTTTGTAGTCTCTCATGTTTATTGTACAGTGCAGAGAAGCCTAAAGGCAAAAAGAGATAAGTGATTTTCTTTGATGTGAGTTTAGAGAAATTACTGTAGCCATAAGGGTATTCAGCTTGTGTGTGTGTGTGTGT